TCAGACAGAAATCTATGGTTTAGGAATAATAATAGGATAAAACAAGAGATTGGAATAGGATTTCCTAAAAACAGATATGACATTTTTGTTTGGGGTATTTAATTTTTTAAATTTATTTTTGGGGATACCACTAATTGAACTTAGGAGCACTTGGTCACTGAAACACATCCCCAGATATATTTTGTATAATATTTAAAGTCAGGGTCTCACTGGGTTGCTTACTGCCTCACTGGTTCTGAGGCTGATTTGAACTCATGATTCCCCTGCCTCAGCCTCCCTAGGTGCTCACTTATTATTACATGTAACAAATTGTGGTTTATGTAGATTAATTTAAGGGATGGCTTCCTGCTAGAGATTGGATTTGGTAACTTGATTAAGTATGTTAAAGGTTTTTTAATACAATCATTGACTTAAGGGTGTGTCCGCCATTGGAAAATCTAATCCCATACATCTATACTTTGATGAAATGGGCGTGGTCATTGAAAACCATAAAACCTTTTATAAATGACCAACTTTGTTCTTTTCCAGAGCTACTGGGTTTGGATTTGGCTGGACTGTGGATACCTCTGAAGCTTAGTGCAACCATTAGGTGAACAACTTAGCAGATTTTAACAGATTTCTTATTGAATGACAGTGGAAAAACCCATTACCAATACCCACAGGTAAATGCATAATTTGCCCAAAATAATTTCTCTGGAGAGGTTTTTTGTTTTGTTTTGTTTTGTTTTGTTTGTTTGTTTGTTTGTTTGTTTTGTACTAAGAATTGAACCCAGAGGCACTATAACACTGAGCTACATAGCCAGCCCTTTTTAAATTTCTTTTTGTGATTCTGCTAAGCTACTTAGGGTCTCACTAATTTGTTGAGGCTGACTTCAAACTTGGAATCATTCATCCTCAGCCTCCAGAATTGCTGAGATCACACACATGTGTTACCACACCAGGATGGGTTGTTTTCAAATTAAAAATTTAGTGCTTAGAAATTCTATGATTACTTTAAATTTACTTTCTGTACATTTGTAGATTTTTTCTGTGTATTTTTTGAATTAATCTTTTTTGCTCTATTTTCTGTAGAACCTGATTTATGTATTGTGAGCATTCAGAAGATAACTGTCATCAGGTAACCAGTAATATTTTAGCAGGTGCAATACACATTATAATTGTATTGTTTTATCATAGGATCCATACATGATTCAAGTACTTAATATTATGCTATTTGTATATTTATGTATATGTTTGTGTACAGGTATACAAAAAATGCTAAAATTTAATCTGCTGAATTACTCAAAAATACTCATTGTTAGATGGAGTATTTAAAGTGATACCTTTCAGTTTTATGAGTTAGATTTTAAGGTTTGAAACTTACAGAGTTTTAGTCAGTTTCAGACTTGGACTTTTGGAAACTAGAGAAAGATCTAGAAAGCTAATGTCATTTACAAAATATTTTAGATAAGAAAATCTGGATGAATCATTTATTTAATCTGTGAATTTATTTTACTTTTATCATATTTTTTAGTACTGGGTATTGAATCTAGAAGTTATTTACTACAAAGCTATATCCCCAGGTTTTTGGTTTTATTATTTATTTATTTTTATATATTTACAATGATGTTAGGCTGAGGCTTAGTATGGATAGTTTTACAATGTTTTGATATGTTCCTGATATCCCTAGTTGTTCTAGCATTTTAAAAATGAAGGGGTTATATATGTGCATTATAAATTGAAATGTATTCTGCTATCATATATAACAAATTAGAATAAATAAAAAAGAATGAAATTGAGGCCTGACTGCAAGAGGACTGTTTCTTACCTCTGACACTATTCAGCATGCCCAGGATTTTGGTGATGTACCCTGAACTGAGCTCCTGGTTTACTGCCTAAGGCATTTGAATGTGCAAAAACAGTTCTGTAAAACATGCCAGAATTTTTCCATTTGGGGTTAATTTGTTATATTTTTTATCCTAAACCCCTGGAGATATAAGAAATGTTATGGCTTTGTAAGCTTAAATTATATCAAAACATAAAGCCTTCATTCTTCTGTGACATTACCCAACTTCTAAAATTATTGAATGTCATTTTCTTCCTGTATTTCTCAATGGACCTTGGAAAATACAAAGATCCTAGGTATGTTACAGAAAGCAGAAAGTTTAGCTTTTGGGAATTCAGTCCACATAAGTCAACAATGACATAGTCATTGATTACTAAAGGGGAATGTTCCTTGGATCAGAGATTTTAATCATCTTTGCCTATGGAAGGGATTTAGTACAGCATTGCACCCCTGATCCTGAGGGTTCTGTAGCAACCCTTCCACTCTGTGTTCTCCCTATACCTAGGGCATGTAGGATCTGGATATTGCGACCATGATGATGAACTCCCACCCCCACCCCGCTTCCCATCCTTAGGGAGTGTTTCTTTGTGTGTGTGTTTGTGTGTTTTTGTGTTTGTTTGTTTGATTGTTTGTTTTCACCTTCTTCTTCTCAAAACTATGGGTTCCTTGAAGTGCCTGTGAACAAATCTCTTTTTATGTTTAGGTGGGGCTGGAGAGGATAATACAAATGGGTGACACAAAGCCCAGAATGAATAAGTATATTTAAATTCATCCACATAAGAAGGAAATTTGTGAATAAAATAACC